TGATGGCCGTTGTTGTCGGTTGGCGACGATGCTAACAAACTTGGAATATGTTTGTGAAGGAGATGCAGCAGTGCATTCAACTGGGTTATTGTCCTGTCTTGGGCGAATGTGCTTCGCGTTCTGCTGCTGTTTGTTTTGTTTATACTATAGTTCAAGAGCGTGTCGGTGCAAGTGGCAGGAAGGTTTTTGTACCTTTGGAAGGATTGTCATTCTCTGACTGTGGTCTGAGCTTGAAGTGTTGACTTTTGGTAATCTGTGTTGTTCATATTATGGAGCAAGATACCCTGTCATTGTGAATACTTCCCAAGCAACACAAATCGTCATAAAGAAGATGAAATTTCTGTTCATTGGCTTATGCATGTTATACGGAAATATGCACATTTATATAATTTTTAAATAACATAATGAGCGTAATTTATGATAGGATGATTTGATTTGATCGCTGGCATTTCTCATTATTTTCTGCATTTAAAATATTTTTTTTTTATTGTTTCAGGAGCTTCAGGGTTTTATATCTGAACCAAAATAATGAGGAACTTCAGTGATCAAACAAACCCCGCTGATCAATTTGACCACGTTTTATGTTAACGCTTCCATAATGCCAATCAACCAACCTTGTGTGTTGTAGTTTTGTGGTGGATTTTGAACTGAAAACTCAATTTGATGAACGTTTTGCCTGTTGATAACAAAATAAGTATTCAAAGTATTGAATTTGATGTACTGCTAAAGCAATGAAAACAAAACTGCAACAAATATTTTTGAAAAGCAAATGTACAGCAAAATGACAACAAATTTTGTTATAAAATTGGTCAGTCAAATTATGATTTCAGTTTGAACTTGTTAGCAAAATTTGATTTCGATTTGCTGTCATTTTGATGCTGGACTTTACTCGGGTACCCGAGTAAAGTCCAACATCAAAATAACAGTAAATCGTAATAAAATTCTGATGCCAACATCAAACAAAAATCAGTCTACGCGATTAAAATTTTTTATAACAAATTTTATTTTCACTTTTCTGTGCATATGCTCTTCAAAAATATGTTGTTGCAGTTTTGTTTTCATTGCCTTAGCAGAACATCTAATTAAAATACTCATTTTATTATCAACAGGAAAAATTGATATCAAATTGAGTTTTCAGTTTGCTCTCACTGATAGCAGAAATAGTTTTCAACGTGATATCACAGGAAGATTTTTTTGTTTGCTGATATTTTAACCGTTAAAATGACCAAAAACGACAGCAACCTGAGCAATCATTATCAGCGAAATCACAACATCAAATTTAGATTTCAATTTGATCTCAGACTTTGCTCGGGTAATTACCTATATTTTCATAATACTAGATAAATTCTACAACTTTGTTCTGGAAAGTTTTGAAAAAGCAGCAAAACGGATTGCCCCATTACATAAGAAGCAATGGTACGAAGCAAACATAAAATGGGTTTTTCTCGGCTTGCTGATTTTTGCTATGGGAACGGTAGTGCATCACTCTCATTCAATGATTATGTAAGCACTGAGGGAGAGAGGGGGTGTTAGAAATTTTCTTACGTTTTCTTACTGGGAGGGAGGGGGTCTCAGAAATCTCTTACGTAAGCATGGCCATAAGACCATTCAAATATTCGATGGAATAGGGGTTGGAAAATCTCCCAAAAGTGCTTACGTAATTAGTACATAACCCAATAATACATTTTCATAACAAGTAATTCTTGTTCCTATTCACCAATACGTTTGGGTTCTGTTGTGGGTTGAATTATGGGACAGTTTCTTAATCAGATTGTTATTACTTTATGCGTGAAGTTGGCCATTACACGATTGAAAAAAAATGCACACTTAGAAAAAATCCTGTAAATTTTGGTGCTCTGAGACTGACATATACACCCATCCGGGAAATGTAAAATCCTATTACAGATTTGCATGAAAAGTATGCAGCATTTGAAATGTTTTGTAATATGAACAGATTCAGTAATGTGGAAATTTTTATGTTAGCTTAATTTACGAACAAAGCTTGTTTCCCTGAATGCATTGCGTCTAGAAAATCATCACGTTTTATATATGCATTCTTGAAAAAAAAAACTTGCGTGTACGCTGCTGTCCATTGCAAGAACTGTTATTACATTTATTGCATGAAACATATGCAGATGATGAAATGAATCCAACCTTCCATTGGATGTAAGAGAAATTCGGTTTGCGTGTATGAGCGTCAATTTCAACATAAAATTAAGTCATGGCAGCTGTGTTGGGAAAATATAAAAAAAATCCAATCTCACCAATGCCCAAGATCACGCTTGATTTTTGTAGACAAAAATCAACAAGCATACAGCTGCGGTTGATTTTGCAAGCTGTGATATCGCAGCTCGGAATATCAAGCTAACGAAACTCACCAGCTGCAAATCTCAACAAACTGTGGTGAGATTGAGTTTAATGATTTTTGCTTTAAACCCAAACGCAACCGAAACTTCCATAACGGCTGGCAGCAGTCACTTCGTGTCTTGTGTCGGTGAACAGTAAAAAGAGATAGCATACTATACGTTCTCTTTCTACGAAAACGATGTGCAACGGAATGATTTTTGTGTCTAGTCAACTCTCCGCTTGATTTTTGCACGTTGTGAATAGCCTCGCAATATCAAAGGAGCTTGTAAAATCAATATTAAGTATGATATTTTGTTCCTATATCACGCGTGATATTGAGAGCGTATGAGAGCGGAAAAATATCACTTGATTGATGATTTTGCCAACACTGCATGGCAGACACGAAAATCAGTTCAATCAATTGTACTTTTCGTCGAGTAACGATCTTTTCAGTCTGCACTTAATATTTCATGACATGTTTGTTTACGTCGCATCCTTTATTTTAAAAATGGATTCCGTAACGAGTAAAATAAGTTATTTCTATGTGTGTGCTTTACTTAAACCATGGTCCACTTAGTTATGGAACAAACTCTTTTGCTTATTACAGCGCTCCTAGTGAAAGTTTTCGGAAGTTTTTGACGTCTGTTTGTTTCGTATTTTTTTCAGTTCATAAAACGACAGTCACTATACAAGAGGAGCGTAAAAATCCATCGTGGTCCGCGTCCAAACTGGTTAAAGGGTTGAATTTTCCTAGAAACACCGTATGGCGCGTGCTCAAAAAGTACAGGGAAACCTTGATGACGAATCGGAAGCCTCCAAGTAAACGCCGGAGTGGAACTGCCAACCGTCAGCTCAATGGACCCAGGTATGTCAGATAGCGATTTGAGTAAAAAGTATGATGCCCGTAGTACAGTGCAGCGAATTCGCTACCGCGAAGGCTTAAAGCTATACCGAACCAGAAGGCAACCAAATCGATCACTTAAGCAGAATACCTTAGCTAGAACCAGTGCTCGAAAACTGTATGACAACCTACTGACCAAGTCCCTGTTTAAAGGCCGATTTCGGACAGCTTCCAGGAACAACATTTTACAAGGCGAAGGCTCGAAGAGGTGTGCCTTGCAGATTCAAATTTGTTTTTGCGGATAAATTCGCACGCAAAAATATGTTCTGGAATTTGCAGCTGCGGTGAGAAGATAAAGGCTTCCGTCACTGAGAAAATGATGAACTCGGAGGTTTACAAAACCCAATGTCTCCAGAAGCAAATTCTGCCCTTCATCCAGTCACATGATGGTCCGGTGACATTTTGGCCGGATGTTGCGAGTTGTCACTACAGCCGGGAAGTACAACAATGGTACAATGACAACAGAATCCAGTTTGCTCCGAAAACTTTCAATTCGATATTCACAACTGTGTCATCTAAGAGTATTAATTTAAGGCTTATCTTTGCTTGCCTATGTACACTATGGTTTAACTCCGACTATCTGTATGACATTGTAATACTATCTTTTTGTCCCTAGATTATCTGTTTATGTTTGCTCGTCCCACTGTCTTCGCAATATAGATATGACCTACAAGAAAATATACAACGTTGTTATTAAAAAGTCGTTTATGAAGCTTACTTATAGTAAAGCTGGGCAAAGGTTTTTGAAACAATGCCTCAGACCAAAAGACCCGTAAAACTTGCAGTCCCATTGTATTTATTGTGGGAAATCACTATTTATTCAATTCGTTGTTTGTCAAGCTCTGGTGGTTTCTCCATGTCTTACAAATCTTCATTATATATTGTATGCCGATTTTCATACAAAATTATCAAATTTGACATGATGTAACTTTGTTAACTTATGATCAATTGAGCTATTATTTTGAACAATTGTAACACTTTCCGGCAGGTGCTTCCAAAAATTTAATATTTTGTAATCGTAAAATTGTAGTTCTTTGGTGAACGTTTCAGCTCAATTGATCATAAGTTAACAAAATTACATCATGTCATAGTTGACCATTTTGTATGAAAGTCGGCATGCGCTGCTATTTTATCGAACAGTTGTGTCTCATCCTTTATGTGAAAGATGGATTCCGTCACGTGTAAAATTAGTTTTTTCTAAGTGTGCATGCAAATGGTACAGGCATCGAAAAACTGTGGAAGCGCATCTAGAACGCTGTGTTGAGAGCACGCAAAAGCTAATATGCGATATGCAATTAGCTTGAAATTCGAATAAGAAGAAGAAGAAGAAGAAGAAGAAGAAGAAGAAGCCAAACTGAAACTTTTTTCCTTGATTTGTTTTTCGTCGGTCACGGAAAACAGCTGAGCACCAATGCTACCGACGTCAGGAAGGCAGCTCCCACACCTGGACCATACCTATCGAACCATCAACTCATGAACCGCAGACCAACGGCTTTACTTTACGGCGTGATCAGAGATGTTATGCCTCAGAACATCCCGGCGGCGCCGACTGGGATTGAACCCAGGCCTGCTGGGGTGAGAGGCAATCACGCTTACCACTACACCACCGGCGCCGCTAAACTGAAACTTTGATTGATTGCTTAAAACCCTAACAAGTAGTGATTGACCGAACAGAAGGGTGTAATTCAGGTTGACCAACCGCTACTGCGAAGGTCAATTTAAATTTTATGCAAAAACGACCAAAAAAACTCACCTTGCTTTATAAAATCGCTTGTTATCCTTCATCTTAACTGGTGAGGGGCTTTCACTGTCAAACGATGGCTACTTCCAACTGGGTCAAGTATTATTCTATTGCCACACTAACATCTCCCTAATCGTTTTCCAAGTCCAAGTAAAGGAAGCAAACAAGTTTACTCGTTATGCTCGAATTGACTGTGTCGTGTAGTGCTGGTGTCGTGAATATCCTTTCTTCTGCCGATTGGGTTCGTTGGTTGCACCATTAGCCAACAGCTGCGCTATTTATCCCTAGCACACAATGGCTGCTTTATCACTACTGTTGGGTATCATCATCGTCGGTAGCGAACGCGGAACTGTTGACGATAATACTTTCTCGTGATTCATCAACAAAACCACACAATCTGACTCCCGTTCCTCGTGCGTGTATTCAAACAAATGTTGGATTGATTGGTGGACTTTGTTTTGAGGATTGAAGCTCTTCACTGTGTTCGTGTTGTGCGGTTGAATGGAACGGGTTATTTGCTTGGGGTGGTGGCAATGACAAACTGATATCGTATCACTGTAGACAACTAGCGAAAGGATACCAATTGAGATATGGTCTGACAAACCAAACAAGTTTCCAATGAATGGCGCCAGTTCACAGCGCAATCATTTGTGGTCGAAGGATATTCAATAACACCATTTTAATTGAGCTTAAATTGAAATTCAAAACGTTGACGTAAACCGGACGGCTGTTCAAACACTTTGGAAAACGTTGTTCCTTATCACGTTACGGGGAAATGTATCCTTTTAAGATAAAAATACTCGACTTTTTTAATTGCAGTTCCCTTTTTCATCATTCAGCTTATTATGTTTTGATCGTAACTTTTGCTTCTTCAGTAGCATTTCCTATCGAATTCACTAAAGGCACACATTTTCCTGATTTGCCGGTTTCCTCCAGAAACTTCTAACATCACAAGAACAAAATTCTTACTCACAGCGCACCGAACATCAACGGCGAAATAGAACGACACCAAGGGGGAAAAGTCGGGGAAAACTACCCAAAAGGAAATGCGCGTTCCCTCCCAAGCAGAAGAAAGGAAAGAAAAACTTATACTCTTTCTTCGCCAACGACCACACGTCCGTTCGCGTCGAGAGTCGCGTGGCTAACTAACTTGGAAACCGTCGTCGTGGTCGTTCGTTCGCTTGTTCGTCTACCAAGTAGGAGCCGTTTTACGGCTGCTTGCTACCATTGCTCCACTTCCATCGCACATATCGCCGCTGTTCGCCATGCTTATTCTATCCCCTGCTGCAGGCCCCTCTTTGTGCTCTGCCTGGATTTGCTTTTCTTGTAGTTTGGTGCACAAGGAGAGACCGATCCGACTCCCCATTTCTTCGCCCCCTCCTGGTTGTTGCTCATGTGCGCGAAGGTTTGTTCTACTACTGTACGCTACGACTAGGTACTGTTTCGCCTCTCTCTCGAGCCTTGGACTGGGACGTGTGCTTTAGCTCCTTGTTTTGTTGTCTGGGTCGGACGAGCGACATCTTGATGCGACGCCGGTCGGAGTTGGGGCTGACTGGAGTGGATCGATGAAGTTGCGGCTCGACGATGTGTGTTGGTGAAATCGCGGAGGAGCATAACGATCATAGGTTGACAGGGGAGAGTGGGGTGAAATGGGTTGATTAATGCATATGAAAAAGGGTTGCAACATGATTGATGATGATATTTGCGCAGCATTTGTGTTTGGATGGTAGTTTAATGTTTTAAGTAAAGTTAAAGTGGGGTTTTTCAGATAAGCCAGTAGGCTGAGGCAAAATTTGAAATTTGCACTCCACAGTGCCCAAACATCAAAACTCAAAAAACCTGATAACTTCATGAATTGAAAGGATATACCTTTTGAAACATGGCAAGCTCAATATCACACTTTTCATTCTTATTGAAAATTTAGAAGTTTTAACGCTTTTAGCGCTTCATAACTATGGACCAAACATTAGGGACATAATTTTAAGACGTGTTCCTAATTACGACCTACGAACTTTATTTGATCACTTTGTTTTGGTATTGGTGAATCCATTCGCGATGACAACGACTCTGCAACTGTTCACTTTTATAGGAAAACCCCATAAGCAAATGCCAATTTTTTTTTAAACATTGCGGAAGTTGCTTTTCCTTTCACTCCACTGAAAAATCTCGTAGGCACAATGTTTATCTTTGCGTGAAAGGATTGGTCAACACGGTACACAGTTCTATAGATTCGATTCTCTAAAGTGAGCTGATGACCCGCGGTTCATTTTTTAGGAACCGTAGCTCATCAGCTCACTGATATCACCAGTCTAAACCATTCAATCCATCACAAATAGCGAAACTTTTCAAAAAACGACTCATTAGGTCGTATGAATAAAAGCGTTTACTTTAGTTTTCCCGTAAGAAAAGCACGGGTAAGTAAAGTAAACTCTTTTTATTCATACAGCCCATTACTCCACTTACGCATTGAACAGTCTCCGCGTAAACTAAGACGCGCGCTTAATACAACATGTGCCTACTGATCGACAGCACCAACGGTAAAAGCAAACTTCCAAGCGGCTGTTTGGGAGAGAGAAAAATATGTACATGTGCTACACGATCTTAATTTTCTACTGGTATTATCCAATTTATTTATGTACCCGGCTCTTATTGCTGTATTGCTTATTGCTGCTGAGCTCTCACCTCTCCTCACATAATTCTCTGGGGGAGCGGAAGATCCGCACAAAAGTAAATAACCTAAAAGCGAAATGCAGCTCCTACCGCTTATCAGCTCAGCTCCGGATCCGAATCATCGACTCGAATGATTCACTGGGAGCTGTTTAGGATGACAACTCTCGGACCCGTCCAGCTCTTCGGATCTTTTTTTTTTCTCTCTCGATTCTTCACGATTCAGCTCCATATCCGGATCTGAGCTGATGATCTGGAGCTGATGCCGAGAATAGTGACAGATATTCTTCTGGAGAATTAACATCAGAAATAAAATTTGAACGTAGACTGGATTGCATAGCTTGAGAAAAGGCGTAACATCGTGTTCCACGATGTCAATCATATCATCGCGTGTGACATACGTGTAGCTCTCTCGCATACATTTTTTGTTTTACTGCTTTGTTGTTGGCACATTTTGCGCGCATTTAGGTTGGTGGTTGATCAGTTGTTGCGTTAGTGGCGTTTTCCGTTGAAAAGTAAAACCATGTTCTAAGGTACAAATTAATTGGTTTAGAATACTTTCACGATTTTATGCAGTTTTGAGCACTAAAACCACAAATTAATTTCCCGATTTTGAATTTGTGTCATAATTTCTATAATTTAAATGTGAGCTGAAGAGCTGTTCAAAAGAATCAACTCCCTTTAGTGAGCTGGATGGGTTTTATCCACTCAGCCAGATGAGCTGTTTTGCCCACCTCTACTTCTGACGGATATGAGTTGATCCTACTCAAATTTGGGTTGTTTAGAAATAGCATGCAGTCAATCCTACCGTCAAAATAAACTTCAAGGCAAATTAGACTGACTCCGTAACCGTTCACTCAAACTCGCAAAAGCGTAGGTTACTCGTGGAATGATTTTATAATAGATGACTAAATGTCACTCATATTTAAGTAACATTAACTCATTTTTTTATTAAACATTTACTCACCTACGTTTTTGCGAATTTTAGTGAACGGGATTTATGCAAGCCGAACAATGCATTAGGTCCTAAATAACATTGATCGATTCTCTTCGTTGACTTTCCCTTTTGTTAATAGCTTGGCTACAACACCGTTTCTTGACGTGTTTGCCGTATTAGATGCTTCAACCCAAGTAACCAAAAGTTCTGCATTCAACGGTTAAAATCACTTCCAAGTTCCATAAAGTTCAAATAAAGTTCCGACCTTCAAGTTCCATTAAGTTCAAATAAATTTCTGACAGAACTTTCAAGTTCCATCAAGTTCGAATAAAGTCCCGACAGAACTTTCCAGTTCCATGAGGTTCAAATAAAGTTCTGATAGAACTTTCAAGTTCCATAAAGTTTAAATAAAGTTCCGACAGAACTTTCAAGCCTCATGAAGCAATCCGCACAAGTCTTTATTAGTAACAAAATTTAATGTACGTAAGTATGAAATGATCAGTGGCCCGAATAAATCATAATTCTTATATTTATGCAGTGCATCAACATTCTATCAAAAAAACAAAATTAAAGAGTAATTTCCTGGATTCGAGCCCGTGTGTTCGGCATGCGATCTACGATTGCTAACCACTGCGCCACAAGAGTGTTAGAATACCATGCGGGCAAACACCAATTTAAAATTAATCAAGGTGTTGTGTTTCGTATTCAAGTCAGTCAGCTGGCACTGAGAACTCCAACAGTAGGCGGGACAACAGCTCACTTTAATATATTTCAGATGACGTAGCGGTTCGTGCTGAGGCTCTCACGCAGAAGGACTGGGTTTATTTCTTTAAACAGCTCCAATTCTCTACTACTAATGCTGATGAATCAATTCACATTAATACCTGCCATTAGAAATAACTTTCATAAAAGTGCGAACTTTAAAAAAATAAATTAAGAAAGGGTTTTGTCCTCTAACACCAATTCTATTATTAAGAATTGATGTTAGAGGACAAAAACTTTTCTTAATTTATTTTTTAAAAGTTCCATTCAGGTTCCGCCAGAGGCTGCTTAGAATGCTCTATGGTACCGGAACTTTCAAGTTCGACTTAAAAATGAGGCTGCTTAGAATTCTATAGAACACCTTCAAAAAAGCTGCTAAAGCCGAGGGGGACGACTCTATCTACGATGCAAAAAAGATTGTGTTTTGCTGTGGCTAGCTGCGCGCACGCTGAGTAGATAGAAAGAAGATTGATGACGATTCTGAAAATTTCCTGCAAAAAGATGATGAGCGATGCAAGTAGATGCGACAAATGAAAGAAGATTTTTCGAAGATTGATTCGCTAGTGTGAGATTTGTTGAGTATCTAAACTTGAGATTTAGATGTGTCTCCCCCTCGGCTAAAGCCACAAATAACCTTTTATTACAACTTTTGGTTACTTGGGTAATAGCTTCTTTTATCGATGTATATGTTGAAATGTCTTTACATGGCCGTGGGGATGTAAAGAGAAAATCTTCAAAGAAAATCTGTCTATGTTACTTAGGAGCTAATGCATTGTTCGGCTTGCTATCAGTTGACTTAACAGTTGGCATATGTGTGATCGTAAGATGATCTATTTGGCTTTATTTTTATTCTAATAGCATCTTGATTTATGTTATCTAATCCACCAGAAAGAAAACACTGTATCTTTCATCCTTACACGCAAACCAAAAATCTACTACAATGAATGTTAGTTCCGTTTCCTATCATCCTCTGTTCATGAACATCGCAACGAATGTTAGAAATTGACCATGCTGGCGATGTAATGGTTTTTTGTCTTTTTTTTTATTTCGTGTTCTATCTACGCTTTAGACTATACCAGTAAGCTTGTAGAACGACGCACATTGTAGAACATTGTAGAACGACGCACATACTTGCCTCGAATCTCTCCAGCAGAAAAAGTATACGAAGTCGAGTATGCGAGAAAATGAGCGCTTGATGTTTGCTTTTAGGCTAACCATCAGAAGCATGGAGAGAGCAGTGGAGAAAGCAAAGGTCTGATAATCGCAACGTTCGTGGTTCGAGCCCAGTCGGCAATCTGATTCCTATTTTTTTCGACATAACTAATTTACCTCACTAATACACTCTACATTTTTCGGTCTCCAATTTTCTTGCATTGGACCGCAGCTAGGTATATCGCATCCTCGGTTCATGCGGTCTCCACTAACATCAACTGATGATGAATCCCACATAATTGTAAGAGAATCTTACATCCCCCGGTTGGGTGTATCAATTTTTACGCGAGTGTGGTTCATTTCCGATAGGACGAAGTTGCATCCATTTATAGACTCAATTTGAGTACAGTAATTAGACATGACATCCACGTACCTGGAAAATTTTCATGTTAAAATGGCGAAATTAAACAATTTTCAGTCGTACCTAATCAATATACAAAGCTTGCATGTTGACAGTGAAATATCGACTGCACCTCAATTATTACATACGGCATCAAATGTAATTGAAGGCTTCATGTTAGACCGAGGTTAGAGACATATATCCTATTTAAAATGACCCTCTTCAATATGTTTTGAATATTTTTTGTTAAAAAGCGTATAAATTTTTTATGACGATTTCAGGTTTGTCCCTTTAAAAATTGATGTAAATCATTAAACAACAACTTTTGGTAACAGTTTTGAACTTTTTGTTTAACTTTTGCTCGGAAATCAGTTTTAAAAGTCTAAGTAAGTTGAACAAAAACTACAAAATAAAAC